GCAAATTAACAATAAATTTCACTACCCCTCAATTTTACAGCAACTTAAGCCAATAATTTGGTTTCCATTGCACATGATTAACCACATACACACATACATAAACACGAAAACAGCATTGGCTATAAAAGTGAGGCAAAAAGTTCTATTCTACCTTAGAAGCAAAATTGTTTTTTCTTGTCAATAATGTAACAACATTATTCGCTCAACTTTTTTTTCTTGTGATTTTTTAAGGAAAACTAAAGATTTCAAGAAAAAAAAACAATCTTTTTTTTCTGAAGAATCTTGCGAAATTGAGCAGAGAAGAAAAACTTATTGTAGGTGTGTCAGAAACAGAAACAAAAAACTGTTCAAAAGACAATTTTTACCTAATCGTTCAAACGATTTTTTTTTCGCATTGTCACCTATGTTTCTGGACGTTGTTGGCGTAGTAAATTTACGCGTTGAATCTGACGGATGATAATTGCTCACTAATGCCGGTGAATGCATAGCTGTAAAAAAAAAACGATGAAAAAATTTTTTTCTTAAATTTAAAAACTGCAAAAAAAAAAAGTGTGAAAAATGAGACTTGAAAAAATGCGTTAAACGCAATTGTTCAATATCTAAACAGTCGTGAAACATCTTAAATCTCATATACGTATGTTTCAGTTTGTCTTTTCTCGAAGACTTAAACATCACTCTTTCAGATGCACTGCTTAGTTGTTTAAAATAGAACAGTTTCAAAAATTTTTAGCTTTCTTTTAAACACCAAAAATAATCTGTTGAGAAACTGCTGCCGCTGCAGCGCGGTAAAAGTGGCTGAAAAGATAAAAACAGGAATGCAATTTTGGTAAGGAAAACTCGTCTCACTGCGGTCGCTTGTCGTCATTTCTCTAACTATAAACCTCCAAAAAGAAAGCCGAAAAAATAAAACAGTACTGGCTAATGTCTAATAAAAACTACATGAATTTGGTAAAAAGGAAGTTCGATTTGGTCGAGGCTGAAACGGCAAAGCAAGTGATTGCGCTCTTTCTCCAAACATTGTCCTTCGTTCGGCAACTGATGGCCCAATGCTGCTGAGAAAGCAATCATAAATTGGATGTAATATCAATAAACGTAGAATATTAACTTCTGTTCTGCTTTTTGTTTTTTATTCTAACAGGTAAATTTAAAGAAAAAAAAATTTTTTTTTTCAGAATTATACCTTTAAAATATCGCCGATTATTCGGATACGATCTAATTGATATCTTGGCTTAAAGAAAGGAAAAAAAATTTGTTTAAAATTTACCTAATACTGGGAATTTTTCGACGCGATGGTAACGATGAAAAACGCGTTGATGATAGATTATACATTGGATATGGATTTTTTGAAGTTGATTCAAATGATGACGCAATTCTTGCTGATTTTCCATTATCAACTAACGATTTACTCCACCTTATTGAATTCCAGCTAAAATCAAAAAAAAAAGTCAACTATTAACTTGCAAAACACACTCAGATACATTGATTATATGTTAAGTAGGAAATACTGGCAAGAAAAAAGCATCAGCTTACTCTTCCATAACTTTACAACACTTTACATCTATTACACGCATATATACCCATCCAGTAATAATGATAATAATAATAATAATAATAATAATAATAATAATAATATAATAATAATAATAATAATAATAATAATAATAATAATATAATAATAATAATAATAATAATAATAATAATAATAATAAGACAATAATAATAAATTAATTTTGAGATTTTTCGGAATCAGCAATTGTAATTATAACAGTAATAGTAATAATAATCAATTTTTTCAATACAACGTATCTTTCGTTTATCCGATATCTGCATTTAGAAAAAGCTATGTTTCTTCGTAATTACAAGAAAAAAACTAAACAGAAAAAACCAAGCTGAATAGACAAAAATAACAATAAGGAGAAAATTAAAAGAGAGGCACTAAAATAAACAGCAAATAACAGTTGATAAAATAATGAGAATTTTTTTATTATTATACACAGTTAAGGCAAATGCTGAGTTCCTTTCTTCAAAAAACTTTTTTGCTGTTTACTTTTGTCTTTTTTTTTTCTCTTTTTTTGCCTTTTTGCGCTTTCCCCATAAAGTCAGCCAAGTAGATGATGGAAATCGACAGTTAATTAGATGGTTGAAAAATTTAAACTTTTAGAAATTCTGCTGTGCAGTAAACGCCAAAAGCAGCAAAACAAGATGGAGTAGAAGAAGAAGAGAAAGCGAAGACCAAACCTAGTAGCATAACTGGGCGTCTCCACGCTCGAACCACGCGGTCGGGAACTGGATGTTCGTGATGACGGTGATGACCATTTACTCTTATAATTCATACTGTCGAAATCTGAAAGTCATTGGATTCCAATGTTTCTTATTTGATGATTCTGTTGCCTATACTATACTGAATATAAGCAACATTCGTTCAACAGTGTTCACCATCACACAAACTTTTTACAGACAACAAGTATCTATCTTTCTGTCAGCTGTACAGTGCATTTTGGTTTCTGATTTCTTGGGCAATAACGTGAAGTTGTTGTTTTTGTTGTTAGGCATTTTTTGTTTTTCTTTCTTTTTTTTTTTCTTCTTTCTTTCCACTTTTGTTTTTTCTTTTGTTAATAGTTTTGCTGTTGCTGTATTGCTATTTCAACTTTATCCAGTGCTATTTGCGCCCGAACATTGTTTTCATAGAAATACAATTTTGTTTAAAAAAGAGTGAAAAAAAAAGCAAAAAAAAAAAAAAAAAAATGATTTT